CACTATAGAGCAACTAACACAATCTTTGAAAAAGATAATACTACCATATGACAAAAGTATCTCAGAAACAACCAAGGCTATTAAACCTCATAGAGCACATAACCCAACTAAGTCCCTGAAAAAATATCTCAGATAAACCGAAAGACCCTAGTCTAAGAAAAACAAAACAAAACCAGAGTCATCTACAACATACAGTGTAAGGACTATAACAGCCACTATGTAGGAACAGACAGGCAGAAGACCAGCAGAGTGCATCCATGAACACCAACTAGCAGTCTGAAGACAATGATAACTCACAACACATGGAAAGACTCAATTATAGTTTCAACTGGGAAACCATAAACATCCTAGACCAAGCTGAATCCAAAACCACTAGAATATTCTTGGAAGCCTGGAATTCAGATAAATCAGCCATCAATAAACACAGAAACAATCCATATTTACACAGCATTCAAAAGAGACAATAGAAAAAGCTGAGAAGGAAACACAATGACCAAGCACATCCTCTCCAACACCCAACATCCAGATAAGCAGGGATTATCACCAGTCAAACAATCAAGCAAGCAGTAAACAGTAATCTAATCAAGGAACTACCAATGAGAAAACCAAACTCCCACCAACACTGGCAGGATATGCTACTGTATATAAACAGGGAACAAATCCCACACTATATTTTATGATTATGGTACCCAGGTAATAAAGTAATAAAACTGTGCAAGCAAACAAACTTCACAATTCAACTCTGAACTACATATATACTTTTCTATAGAGCCATGTCTGGTTATCAACTACAAATACTCATTTAGAATTTCAATAATACAATTTAGTTCGGACTTACTTAGGGCCAAAGTTAAACACATAATGAATATGAAGTTTTCAAATAGCACTACTGAGCCCATTAATTGGGATCAAGGTTTGGGAGAAGAGGATAAAACGTTTTCCATCTTCATATTTTGTTTTTTCTTTTTAATCTCTGTAGGTGGCTCAGTGGCTAAGATGTGAGTGAGTTCAAATCCCTAGTATAGGTCTTCTGTGTGAGCAGGAGGTTGGACTAGATGACCTCCAAGGCCCCTTCCAACTCTGTTACTGTTAATCTCTCTCATTTGCTATTTTGTCCAAATTATGCTATTTTTCAAGATCTCCAGACACCAGTCAATTGAAACCTGGAGCTGAGAATCATAAGGATCTGGCTAATCAGAGGTAACTAGTAGATGCAAAAATAAAACTAAAGGGACAGTTCCAAGATTTTGAAAATTTTTAAGAATCTCAAGTATAATTAAGTAGCTGAAAGTAGCTGCAGTCATTTGTTGTTAAATGAACAACTATACATTTTCTCAGAATTTACTGACGTATGAAAGGGCTGGAAGCAGCTGGAAAAAAATAGATAGGTTCATATTTAGGATTATATCTATTTTTTTCACTTTCACTTTCGGGGCAAAATATCAGTGAGTGAAGGGAATTCTTCCTTCCTTACATTATTTTACAATATTTGTACAAAACAGAGATGTCTCCCTTTGCTGTTATAGTAATTCTTTTCAAACAGATGGCATCCTATCATATAACATCACATACAAAAGGTACTGTGGGTGATAAACATATGGCTTTTATTGGCTATGAAAACAAGTTCTTCATTTTTCTTCTTAAAAAAGCTGAGAATTTCTTCAACTTCTACAGTGCCAAAATACATCGTCTCTCATTTTACCATTTGAAAATATTATAGGAATATGTCACTCCAGATAGCTATTCTTCAAAGCTTCTGTAAGTGTTCTGTGCTTTCCCATCTAATACAAACATATCACACAGTACTTTCCCTGGATATATCCTCTCATTCTTTGCTAATACTGTAGACTATATAAAATAAAGAATAGAATAGAATAGAATAGAATAGAATAGAATAGAATAGAATAGAATAGAATAACAGAGTTATTGGAGGTCTTCTAGTCCAACCCCCTGCTTAGGCAGGAAACCCTACACCACTTCAGACAAATGGTTATCCAACATCTTCTTAAAAATTTCCAGTATTGGGGCATTCACAACTTCTGCAGGCAAGTTGTTCCACTGATTAATTGTTCTAGCTGTCAGGAAATTTCTCGTTAAATTGCTTCTCTCCTTGATTAGTTTCCCCCCCCCCCTTGCTTCTTGTTCTACCCTTAAGTGCTTTGAAGAATAGTTTGACTCCTTCTTCTTTGTGGCAACCCCTGAGATATTGGAACACTGCTATCATGTCTCCCCTAGTCCTTCTCTTCATCAAACTAGACATACCCAGTTCCTGCAACCGTTCTTCATATGTTTTAGCCTCCAGTCCCCTAATCATCTTTATTGCTCTTCTCTGCACTCTTTCTAGAGTCTCAACATCTTTTTTACATCGTGGCAACCAAAACTGAATGCAATATTCCAACACATGACCGTTGAACCTCCCTTTAAAGCAAGAATTCTGGGAGTTGAAGTACACAAGTCTTAAAGTCGCCAAGGTTGGAGACCCCTGCTTTAAAGCGTGTAGCAAATTTCAGTGACACTATTGTCAATATAGTAATTAGTAGTATGATTTCCTATCATTCTGAAGTTTGAACCTGGTCCACCTTTATTACTTTAAGTAAGTCAATGAGGCAAAAAACATTATATTCCTTCCTTCTCATAATGAGATCCCCAGGCACATTAACAGAGCCATATCTTTAGAGCTGTTCAGAAACTCTAAAAAGTCCTCACCACTGAAAACAGCTAATACAGCAGCAACCACCATTACTAATTTTTTTCAAAAGACCAACTATCCTAGAAATTTTGAAAAACATATTCTCCTATTCATTGTGGTCCCGCTAAAATCTTAGAGACAACCTTGCTTATGCTGGAACCCAATAGTAAAGAGCCCTGCATACAATCTGAACGAGGAAAAATATTTTGGGACCAAAAGATTCCCTCCACATTTTGGGAGTAGGTTCCTCTGAGCTCTAATTTTATTAAAATGAAATAGATACATAAAAAAGAAACTGCTTTATTACTGTCTCCTGTGGCATATATTTTTGGTCTCTAATGTATGAGAACAGTTTTTCTCATTTTAAATACATTATATGCAGGTGGCAAATGGCATTAATAAGGTAAACAGTTGAACAACTTGCCTCCAGAAGTTGTAAATGCACCAACACTGGAAGTTTTTAAGAAAAGATTGGATACCATTTGTCTGAAATTGTGTAGGGTTTCCTGCTTAAGCAGGGGATTGGACTAGAAGACCTCCAAAGTCCCTTCCAACTCTGATATTCTGTTCTTTGTTAAAAAGGTATCTATCAATTCTTAAAAATCCAGGTAGTTTGCTTTGTCTTTGTTGAGATCTTTTGAGTTTACACCATACTTTATGTGTTTTCCTGGAGATCTCTCAAATGATCTCAATAAATACAGTGAGTTTCTAATATATTACAATTTTAATGTTAGGGTACTTAGAATCTATTTTACACATAATCTTATCCATATAACCAACCTATCTTCCTCTGTCTTTTCTCATTCCACCTCACTCCACTTTAATTCCTACATCAACCTAGTTACTCTATTCACCTGATGAATTGAGCTCCATCCTCCAAAATGCGTTTTAATAAAATGTGTTCACTGGAAAAGGTGCTACCAGATACCCATTTTTTTTTGTTGCCATAGATTAACCTAGATCTCTTAGTACAATAGAATATTGAGGTATCAGTTAACAACAGTTGGAGGAAATTAGAGTTAACTACAATGGAGGAAACTAGAGAAGGGAGGATTGAATTGAATAAGGACTGACCTGAATTAAAAAAACCCCAATTTTTGAACTTCTTTTTAAAAGAAAAAGAAAAAGGGCATTCTAATGGGTTTCAAATTCTGAAATATAATCTAGCTAGAAACTGTTGTTTGTGTATAAAAATAATTATTTTACCCAATATTCAAACTGCAATGCCTATAAATAAGTATGCCTTGATTAAACATGTATACATAAAACTATATTCAAGTAAACCAGAGGATTTTAGTAACAATACCACTGGAGGGAGAGTTTATATAGGTAGTTCTTGCTTACTAGCAGTTTCACTTAATGACTTTTTAAAGTTACAATGGTGTAAAAATTCAGATTTACTGCAATTTATGTAATGAAATAAATGATGCATATTTTATTTATTTATTAGATTTGTGTGCCTTCCATCTTATCTAGAGATGATTCGGGTTGATTCACAAGCATAAATCTTCGCATTTACTTCCATTGTGGTGTCCCACAGTCATACGATTGCTACTTGTGTTAGAATAGAGTAGAGTAGAGTAGAGTAGAGTAGAGTAGAGTAGAGTAGAGTAGAGTAGAGTAGATAGAATAACAGAGTTGGAAGGGACATTGGAGGTCTTCTAGTCCAACCACCTGCTTAGCCGGGAAACCCTACACCATGTTTATGTTTATCTAATATCTTCTTAAAAACTTCCAGTGTTGGAGCATTTACAACTTCTGGAGGCAAGTTGTTCCAGTGATTAATTGTTCTAACTGTCAGGAAATTTCTCCTTATTCTAAATTGCTTCTCTCCTTGATTAGTTTCCACCCATTGCTTCTTGTTCTACCCTCAAGTGCTTTGGAGAATAGTTTGGCTCCCTCTTCTTTGTGGTAACCCCTGAGATATCAGAACACTGCTATTATGCAGTGCCTAGTCCTTCTTTTCATAAGATTAGACATATCCAGTGTTTTTTGTGTGTTTTACAACTGGCTTCCAACAAGCAGAGTTAATAGAGAACAAACAAGTGAAACTGCAAGTTATAGTCACGTGTCTTGCTTAATGCAGTGTTTCATTTAATGACTGAATAGGTAGTAATGTAAGTTCCTTGTGATCATATGATTTCCTGCTTAGTGACCACAGCATTTAGTAATGGAATTGTTGGTCCCAATTATAGTACCTAAACGAGGACTACTTGCAATTTTTAAAAAGTATAACTGAAATATAGAATTCCACAAACATATTTTCTCCAGTTTGACATTATGCCACACAATGGAAAATGGATTTACTTACCCTATTACAATACAAGAGATGGCTGTTCCCAAAAAAGCATATGCTAAAATGGATCCTAAATTGCGAAAAAAGTGTCTCTAGGAAACAAAAGAAAAAGAAAAGATAAAGATAATTTTGTGAATGCTATATATTTTAGTAGGTTATTTTTTTATTTATATCCCACATCTATTATTTTTATAAATAACCAAGGCAGCAGCCATATCCGACACACATTCCTCCTCCTATTTTCCCCACAACAACAACCCTGTGAGGTGAGTCGGGCTGAGAAAGACTGATTGTCCTAAGGACACCTAATTGGCTTTCATGGCTAAGGCAGGACTTGAAGTCACCTCCTGCTTTCTAGCCTCGTGCCTTAACTGCTAGACCAAAGTGTAATTGCATGCTTTCATCAAATTCTACACCAAATTTACTGGTTTCAACCATTTTTTAAATTTAATTACAGTTGTGAATGCTTACATTCCAGCAAGTAAGAAATATCTTCTCCAATACATATTTAATAGTCTGGGCAATAAAACAAATTTCTTCCAGTCTAATTTTGTGATAAGCCACTTAAATATAACCTTCTTTAGAAGCAATATTGTTGAAAAGACTTTATCTGGACTATTACCTTAATTTGAAGACTGACTTATTCTCAAAGTGATAGCAAGAAGAGTTGATATCAGAATGTTTATTAAACAATGGTCAGGTTATATAGTGTCAATATATCAAGAAGGATGTAGAATTTGATGTTGCATCAAAACTTAAACACCTTTCATTCTGTTTCATAAGATTAACTGTTCGTTGCATTATTTGAAAGATCAGCACTTTTCTAAGTAATGAAGACTGCTTTTTATTTGAGTTTAGAAATTCGGAGTGAGACAGAGAATGACTTGAAGTGTTTTGTATACTCTATTGCAATATTGCAATTTTAAAAGTATCCAGTGAATGGACGCAGCCAGAATTGAGCTCGTAAATAGAACCAAATTAATTTTTTTATGATTAGGTCTACAGATTTGCCACTTTTTTTTATATTGCAGACTGAATGTAAGCATTTGCAGGAAAAGTTTATATGATTTAACTGTATTATAAAAAGAATCAAAATGGTAATTCGCAGTTGGTAATTTGCAGTTGGTCAAATTAAAACATTTTGGTCCCAGTCATAAAGAGCAGACTGCCTGCTACTATTAAAAAAAATCACTTACCTTTTTTAAACTGTATCCTGCATGAAAAATAATGGGAGGTAATAGAACATTGAAGAAGATGGAAGGATCAAAGGTCATCTGCCAGAAAGAACAAGAAACAGATAAAGAAACACAAAATATTCACTAAGTATTAGATCTTTGAATAGTATCACACTTTACATTAACATTTTACAATATAAATATATCAATAACACTGAACAATATTTAAGAAAACATTTCTTTCTGGTACCTCACCTGTACGAAAATATATATAAAGAATGTATAAGATGTTCCTCATACATTTTTAGTACAGATGAAAAATGTATAAGGAAAAAATGTATAAGACATAAAATGATAAAATTGCAAATTGTGAATGAAGACAAATATACATGTCTCAGGATAATGTTGCAGGATCCAATCTGAAGTGGTCATCAACTCAGATTGGAACCTGCAATTAGCAATTGGCAAATAGCAAGTCATTCAAATGAATTTCAGAAGTAAAAATAAAAATATTGCCACATTTATTTTCTGCAAAGGCTCACTTGAAGGTGATTAAGACAAATTTGTTTAGTGTCAATATATTGGGACTTCTGTTTAAACATTGAAACTTAAGCAGCTAAGTCTATATTTTTATGCAATGGTTATGTCAAATTTCTGGAAGTTTGTTTATTAAATTTATTTGCTCTTCATCTTGTGGTTTCTGGAAACTCTGAGCAGTTTAAATCAAGACACACAAAACAACACACAATAGCAGTAATAAATATAAAATGAATTAACATTACAAAAAAGTAGAACAATGTAAAAACAAGGGTTAAGAGAGAAAGGTAGTGTACCTTCTCTATTAGTGTACCAACCATTTCTACCCAGCAACTTCTTCAGAAATACATATTTCAGGTTGCCATTAACTGGCAGTTGGAACCAGCCTGAGATATTTTGCTACTTAAGGCAAAGGATATAATGTTGCTACTTCAGCTATTCAGATACAGAACCCAGCTAGAGTAATCGCTGAATCTTATTTCAGTGTGGGTGATAGATTAGATTAGAATAACAAAGTTGGAAGGGACCTTGGAGGTCTTCTAGTCCAACCCCCTGCTTAGGCAGGAAACCCTACACCATGTTTATGTTTATCTAATCTCTTCTTAAAAACTTCCAGTGTTGGAGAATTTACAACTTCTGGAGACAAGTTGTTCCACTGATTAATTGTTCTAACTGTCAGGAAATTTCTCCTTATTCTAAATTGCTTCTCTCCTTGATTAGTTTCCACCCATTGCTTCTTGTTCTGCTCTCAAGTGCTTTGGAGAATAGTTTGACTCCCTCTTCTTTGTGGCAACCCCTGAGATATTGGAACACTGCTATCATGTCTCCCCTCATCCTTCTTTTCATTAAACTAGACATATCAGTTCCTGCAACTGTTCTTCATATGTTTTAGCCTCCAGTCCTCTTATCTCTGCACTCTTTTGTTAGGGCAGTTTCTTTTCCTGCACTCTGGGCATCAAGCTGCTTGGGTGGCTTCTGGTTTTGGAGAGCAGATGTTGCCTGTATCTCAGAATTTACAGCTTAAATTGTTTGCTCCATTGTTTGCAATATTAGGACCATCTCTTGTTTTTATTCCACCAGTTCTTATTCAATGTGATGAAAGAAAAAAATCTTTTGAAATTTATTTCAAAGCAGTAGCAATTAAATCCCAAGGGAAGACATTTGAAGGGAAAATTTCCAGCTGGTTGGGTGTGTGTGTGTGTGTGTGTGTGTGTTTCAGATGGAAGAGCATGGAGAGTCATGGCAACATCAAAATGGTGGAAAGAAAACATCTTAACCTCTTTACTTATTTGAAAAGTATTTATTGCCGCAGTCCAAAATAAATTCTCGTTGATGTACAAAATACAAATTAACAATAAAAACAATACCACAATACAATAATGTACATGATAATTAAAAAAAATGAACAAATAATTTTATACTAAATCAAACTTTCTGAAATGCTCAGGAAGTTTTTTTTATGAGCTTCCAGAAGGGTGGAAGTGGGAGTCAATCTTGCTTTGGGGACCAAACTGTTCCAGAGGAGGGGAGTCTTTACAAAAGGAGTTATTTAATTTTTGTGTGACATGAACCCTTTTGAGAATCTGTTAAAAATTGTGAATTCCTTTTCAGAAAAATGTGTGTGTAAACACCTAAACAAAGTAGTGAAAATAAATCTGTAACTTTTCTGCTATCCATGTTCATGGACTCCCTGAAACCTATCCACAGATTTCTAAGTTTAAAAAGACAGGCCAGTAAGCAGTGGTGGGTTGCAACCGGTGTTACTACCTGTTCTCTTTGTGCACGTGCTTTGCACGCAATTGCTGTGCGCATTCTCTCTTCATTCACACGTGCGCCAAACTTGCGCTCCGCACAAGTGTGTTAGGTTTCTGGCCAGCTGAGGTGCGGCAATCCCCTCTGCCGGGCCTATCAGCTGGGTTAAAAACCAAGAAATAAAGGTAGGAATAAAGCGGGTGTGGGCGTGAGAGCCCAGCTCCCAGTCACAGAGAACCGGTTCGGTGATGTCACATCATCACCGTTACTGGGCCACACTGGGAGCAACTCACCACTGCCAGTAAGAAATTTCCAGCCAGTCCACATGCATCAAAAAGTATCAGTCGAATCTTTGAGAACCACAAAGTCAAAAACTTCTCAGTAATATGCAAAGGGATTAGCTCTAATCATCTCATTAGACTCAATCCATCCAATTTTCAACTCAGAAAAAATACAAACAATTGCCTAACATTAAAAATGTTCAGTAATAACCATAATTTATAGCAACTAATCTTTTGGCTGGCCCTTTCCTAATACGATTTAGGACAAATTAATAACTGCTTTTTGAAGGTTTATTATTATTGTAAATCAATTTTATTTAACAGAAAGATTAGTTGAAATTTCAGTAAGAGTGTTTCTACTCAATAGCACCAACATAAAATATTTTGTTATGCTTTCTATTCCCACCTGGACCCACAGGAAATGCTTGGTACTATGGCAATGGTACCACTTTGCCTCTAAGGACCTTTCACTTACTTTCACTTCCCTTCATGCTTACTATTGAAAGAATGAGAAGTGTTTTAAGGCTTTTTTTGTTTTCTCAATCCCAGAAACACAAAATGTAATCTTATGAAATTTTAAAGAACACAAGGGATTGTAGAGCAACTGTGAAGTTTTCTGCATGGAATGTTCATATACTTCATTTTTAAAATAAGCAGCATAATGTCCAGATGGACATACACAAAATTTATTTGGGAAAAAAGGGAGGAAAATATGAAGAATTAAAAAAGTCACATAGATTTTCAAATAAAAGTGATAAAATTAGTGTAACTTGTTTAATCAATGGTATACAGTTGACTAAAATTTGAGTCTCAAAAGATATGCAATCTTAATTTTAGAAAGAATGCTGAGATGTTGTAAATCTTTGCCTCCTTGTCCCTTGTGATTTTAATATTTTTAATCTCATGCTTTTTGCATTTGCTTGAGTGATTTCTCAAAAACTGTATTGAGCAGTAGTTGGGGAAGGAGATGAGCTATGCTGTTTGCTGTATTTCAAAGAGCTGTGAAATAAGATCCTCTATGGCCCTGTTTCTCAACCTTGGCAAATTTAATATGCTGGCTGAGGAATTCTGGGATTTGAAGTCCACATGTCTTAAACATAACAAGGCTGACAAAAACTACTTTATCGGGAGAAGAGGGAACTTGGGTGGGGCCCAGAGACAGAGGGGGAATGATGCAAGAATTCCCACAGCTGGGAAGTTTTTGAATTTCAGTGTAACGAAAGGACAATTGCATTAGTTTTCAGTCATACATGTTGCAGTTCAGCTGGGTATAAATTGTCTCTACTTTCAACTGCTTCCAGCTTTGCAGGACATGAAGCTAGCTTTAAAATGAATAATCTTTTGGTGGTCCCCTGAATCCACCTTTTCAGCAGCTTTGTTCTTGCATGATAAAAAAAATTAGCAGTTTTAATCTAATAAAATTTTATGCAAGAGAGCCAAATCCAAAAAACATATGGGAGATGTAATAATCAGATAATCAGTTAAATTTTAGAGCACAGAAACAAGACGTCAGATTGCACAGGAAGTTTTATGGATTTTATCGAAAAATATAGATTCCTTCTACAGTAACTTCAAATATACTCTGAATATATCTAATAAAATCATTGGATTTAAATTAATTAATGGCAAACTATTAGACCATACTTCTTTTAAAAGACATCTTGTTTCCAGGAGCATAAATTACCAGACATTATTAAAATTTCATTGGGAAAATTTAAATCTATAGATTGATTCTGTTTTACTTTTAACGATGGTGACAACGGGAAACCTTTAATGAATTCATTAATAATTTTGATACCATCTTTGCCAGGGCAATCCATAAACTCATACCAGTATTCAGCATTTTTATGCCTGCAGACTGCATTTTTTGCACCTTGTTTAATAACCATTTTACGATTTAAAACAGAAGTCCGTTATATAAAATATCATTTTATAAGGATTTGAATTCAACTGTATTTTCAATTTGTTTCTGCCAGTTTAATAACCTTAAAAGCAAGAACATATCATTAGCTAAATGTTCTGTAGTTTTTTGTTCCCATAAAGTGCCTTCCTTTTATGGGGTTATGATCCTAGATGAATTATTTAGTTCTGTAACAATACAGCTGGACTAGAAAATGACTTCCTTTTTTCTTTTGTCCAGCAGATAGCTTGAATGATAAACAGGAAATGGAAACTCAGCATTTTTTAAAAAAAGTTCTGCATTCTGCTTACTTTGGATTATTAAACCGAAATCAACTAGCTGGCCATTAACAGCAAAAGTACATTTTGCTGCATTGACATCTTTATGAGAGAAAATTAGGAAAAAGTACTTTTAAAATTTAAGGATTTTTGTACTAACAAATTCAAATGATAATTTAACCTGAAAGTTAAACCAAGAAAAGCATTTTATTCACCTTTCTTTTCTAACATGGGGGAGAATAATAACATGTCTTTTATTCAAAAATTGTAAGGTGCTCATAGCTTCAAACACAGCTTGCTGAAGAAGCCCTAGCAGAAAGAAAAGTGGCACACTTTTAAGAAGCCAAATGTTCAAATTCTCAAAATCAGAAAATTATTTTTCTGATTTTTATTAATTTTATAAATTAATAAAATTAATTTATTGTAGTCTACTTTCTGTAGTTGGTTTGCTATTTTATTTACTTATTGGTATTTCCTTTATTAAAAAGACAGAAAGAAAAAAATATTATTTAGAAAGAGAACAATGAAATTTCAGAGATTGTTTCCTAAATATTTTAGCCTTCTATAAAATGAGTTTAGAGGAGTAGGTCACTTAGGACGTAACAGGGAAAATAACTGACCAATTCAAAAGAAAGAGAAGCCTCAGAGTGGTTTAAAGTTAGGAACCAACATCGTTTTATGTTTGTTAGTTTTTGTCTTGGTGTGTCCCAGATTCCTGAACAGAGTGAATGGTGGAACTTAAACTAGGAAGACTGATCAACAGCAAGTTACAGAGATTGATAGCGTCTTTCTAATTTTTTGCATGACATCACTTCCATGTACTCTTATACATGTCTTCTTATACTCACCACAGCCTTCGAAATGTGAAAGCAGAAAGTGTGAAATAGATATGTTTATTTTCTTATTAAAAACAGACAATTAATTTGGGAAATAAACTTCTTGGCCTGCACATTTAAATCACTCTGATTCGCTTCTTAGGAGCATTATAATCAATCAGAAAAAACAATAATGTAAGATCATCTACACCGAGAAGTCATTATCTTACCTTTTGCAGCATTACATTCCCTTGGTGTGCATTGACATTAAGCTGGCTAATTTCCCTTCTGTACTGATATTCATACACTTGATTTGTGATGTTGACAAGTAGGGTTGGTAAGCCAGCCTTGAGTTTATCACAGTCATAGACATTTCCAGTTTCAAAATCAGATGGAGCTGTGGCATACCGTAAAATTAATCCCATGATGAGACCTAGAGAGGCAAAGAGACAGTCCATGAAAATGAAAGGTTATTCCTCAAAGCAAAATGGGTATGTATGCACATGCATGAGGAGGAAGCAGCTTCAGAAGCAGCTTCTCAGGGAATACTCTACAAAGCACTTACCTTTGTAGCAGTTAATTTGTCCCTCCTAGTTTGAAACACTTCTTTCAAGTTATTTGTACAGCATCATGGCATATCAAAGCAAAATATCAATAAATACCCACTCTCTTTTTCAAAAAAGCATTTTGTGACACATGTAAATTGTGTTAAAAATACCGAATAATGAAGCCATTTCCCCTGAATACTGCATTTTTGCCTTTTTCTTTAGAAATTTTACTTTATAAACCAAATTTCCCAATTATATATGTAATTATGTATGGCCAGAAACAGAATTCTGGAAGTTATAGTCCCTATAGATCAGTGTTTCTCAACCTTGGAAGCTTGAAGATGGGTGGACTTCAACTCCCAGAATCCCCCAGCCAGCAGCGCTGGCTGGGGGATTCTGGGAGTTGAAGTCCACCCATCTTCAAGCTTCCAAGGTTGAGAAACACTGCTATAGATGATAGTACAAAGCTGGAAAAAGGCTTTTTTTTTTTAAAAAAAGTAAAAACTGAGGTCATCAGGTTGCCTGTTGTCCTTTAATTACAGAATTAAACATTCTTAAACAGTTCTTAAAAGTTTTGATTGTGTAATATGTAATATTCCACATGGAATTCCATCTATGCTGTTTTTAAAATATGAAAATGCACAACTTTGGATAAATACAGAAGCTCTACTAATTTTAGCTATATTGTCTACAATTCTTATGATAGAACAATTTGCCTGAGATCTCTGCAAACAAGACTCAGATTTTGATAGCAAGGAGGAGACAGCCCACAGTCCAGTTGGCAGTGATATCCAAGTGTACTTATATATTCTGACTTTGATCAAGTACAAGGAGTTCATTTTTAAATGAAAAAGTTATTTTCTTTTTCATACTTTCTTTCTGGTTGATCAGTAACAGACTAGGACTTTTAAAATAATACATCTCTTCCTTTATGGTTCAAAGTTCAAATTATTATCATATGTATAAAACTATTAAAGGTCTGCATCAGTAGTGGGCTGCTGCCGGTTTGGACTGATTCGGGAGAACCGGTAGTTCCATCGATCAGCTGGCCCTGCCCACCCATCCCTGCTCTATTCTGTCCTATATTTCCTTCTTTCTGGTTTAGCTAATTCAGGCAGCAGCTGATTTCCGAGCGTCCGCTGTTCTATTTACTGGGGCTGCCTTAGAAGGTAAGCAGCTGAACTTCAAATTGTTGTATTTTGAATGCTGCACACAACCTGTTAGGCGTGCACGCACACGCTCCACAGAACCGGTTGTTAAATAGGCTGCAGCCCACCATTGGTCTGCAGTAGTGCAATATGCTGACTATGTAAACTGCTTAGAGAGTGCTGTAAAGCACTATGAAGGAGTATATAAGACTAAGTGCTACTGCTACTGCTAAAATATTTTCATGCAGACCAGAATATACAATTCTAGTTCCACTTATCTGCATAACACTTTCTCCCATTCTTTTTTATAATTATTCACCCGATATGATGTTTATCCTCATCAAAAATATTACGGACAGCCTCTAGTCTCTATTCCTGAATCCAAATCATTCATGAAGCAGCAAAACTGGGATGGCAAAATGATTTTCTAGAGTTTATCAAATGCAAATTCCTCTCAGTAAGAAAGCCATTTATGAGAATACTCAGAATTGTACTTTGGCAATATCTGAAAGGTTATATGTTAAACAGGGTATAGGCTATCTATGTGGTTGCTATAAGTCAATACCAACCATAGTCTGGTGGTACCCATTCTAGCAATCATTCAAGCCATTTCACAAATTAGCAATAACTACAGCTTATCCTTCCATTTGGTCATCTCTTGGATAATGCCATTGGCCACTGCTATAGTTTCCCACATTCTTCAGTTCCAGTGTAAAGTTCTGTTTATAAAAATAAACACACTGACATTTGAAGTTTTACTGAAGACCAGCGATTCCTGCACTACCACTTTATCCCCACGGATACTATAGGATTAGATTAAATATGCCATTTTATATTTTCCTATTAATCTTGTAAATTCTTCAGAAACAGGGATAAAGAGTGATATTTTGTTTCATGATATATGCTTTGTGATATGTATAAATTCCTGGGCTCCAGGAATGAATAAGATGACTCTTCCTTGTAAAATTGAAAATAAGAATGTTAATGGTTTCTTACCATACCTTGCATTATTGTGAAAAAAAACCCAATCCATTCATGAATATTTCAGAGAGACAGGAATGGGGATATAACAGTCTGTAACTCGATATTGTATTATTTGGAAAGAAATAGGAAAATGTTCAGGCCTAAATATATATTCCTTCTTAAAATATTTATTTTTAAAAAGCAAGGTACAAGAAATAAAAAAGGATATCCTTCATAAAAAATAACCCTTTGTTAAAAGATGATTCAAGAAGGACAATTGTGAAATAACTAATGCAAATGGCAAACAATTATTTAATATCAACTCTTAATGAATTTATTTGCACTAAATTCATTAACAGGACTCATAAAATACTCCAATATGAATATATTCCTAAGTGTTTTACATCATGGTTACATTTCAGTTTCATGGTGGTAATCCATTATGCAGGGTTGGAGGATTCTTGAAATTAAGTGACAAAATTTTCAGTGAGATGTTTTTTGTCTTTAAAGTCAGGATGCAGATGGAAGTAGAAGATTTCTCTGAGGCAACTGCTTCAATTTCTATCCTTAATATCCCCTTAATTCCATGGGAAATATTCAAACATTTTGCCACTGAAATTTCAGTGCATCATTTCCAGATTTTGAATGATTTTAAAATGCACGAAGGAAAGCATTCTCAACTTTTAAATCTAAGAAAAAATTAGGTATCAATTCTGGCACTTCCTGTTATATCAGCACCCTCTTGGTAATATCAAATGCATCCCTCCAACTTGTGGAAGTGTTGCCAACTTGAACTAATATATACAGGTAGTCCCCAGTTAGCAACTACCTTGAACAGTGACAGCTCATAATTATGATGGTGATAAAAAAGTAACTTTGCAATCAACATCCACATTTATGACCTTTGTAGCATCATGCACAAGTCTGCTATTACACACAGTTAGGGTTATTACATGCCCATTAAGATTTAAATAAACAATGATTTAGCAAGTGCCTGAACTTAGTCACATACTGTTGTACATAGAGGCAACATTATTTCTTTAATACTTTTGTATTCCTTGACACCTTTGATACCATCAGGCTTTTTGCTAAACTGTGTTTGAATTAAAAACATACCTTTGTTTGCATGAATGCCTCTGAGTTCTGAGTACCAGTGAAGCTAATTTGATTTTAATACATGACTGGCTTGTGACCGATTGACAGCCATTTTGTGGGTGCACCCACTGAGAACTTTTAAAGTGCCAGATGTGACTCTGTCCCCAAAGGTTTCAGCCCTTGGTATAGCATGAATGCCTGGAAACTCTGACCTAACTTTTCCCTTCACATGCCACCTTTTTTATTGTTACTCATTACTAAATTTGGTATACTGCAATCATGGTTTCTGGATCAAGTCAATTGATCTGGTTCTTATGTCATACTTAATTAGTTTATTGACCAAAATACCTGAATGCACATAATGCATTTTGTCAAAATATAGATAGTCCTTGACTTACGACCACGACTGAGGCCAACATTTCTGTTACTAAGTCAGACATTTGTTAAATAAGTTTTGCTTCATTTTATGACATTTCTTGCCATATTTGTTAAGTAAATCATTGCAGTTGTTAAATTAGTAACAGGTTGTTAAGTGAATCTGTCTTCCCCATTGTCTTTGCTCATCAGAAGTTTGCAAAAGGAGACTGCAACAGTCATAAATATGAATCAATTGCCAAACATCTGAATTTTGATCACATGGCCATGGGGATGCTGCAACGGTCACGTGCAAAATGATCATAAGTCACATTTTTCAGTGCCATTGTAACTTCAAAGAGTCACTAAATGAACTGTTTTAAGTCAAAGACTACCTATATATAACTTTATATGTAGTACTCATTTAGTGTTCCCAGTTGGGGCTGCCTATTTTGTCTTTATATGAAGCAGTTGCTAAGTGAAAAATCACATGACTATGATTGTGCTTACAATTTTATATACAACAACCTTTTCTGTAGCTGCCTAACTGACCATAATAACAAACATGTGCAAAGTGCTAGAAAGGTGGTAAATGTGGGTGTTGGATGCAAAGTTACTTTTTTATTACTCTCATAATTGTGAATGGTCACTGTCCAGAGCAGTTGCTATATATACTAGCTCCAAGCAACAAATTTTGAGAGCCTAGAGGAATGATGAATGTTGAAATCTATTTTATATATCACCAAACTGAACTGACTTATACAAAAGGAAGAAAGAAAAATATTCAAACTGTAATACAGTACAATTCTTCAAGTTGATTGGAAAACCTAAAAAGGTAAAGGTAAAGGTTCCCCTCCCACATATGTGCTAGTCGTTCCTGACTCTAGGGGACAGTGCTCATCTCCGTTTCAAAGCCGAAGAACTAGCGTTGTCCAAAGACATCTCCGTGGTCATGTGGCTGGCATGACTAAATGCCAAAGGTGCACGGAATGCTGTTACCTTTCCACCAAAGATGGCCCCTATTTTTCTATTTGCATTTTTTACATGCTTTCAAACTGCTAGGGTTGGCAGAAGCTGGGACAAGTAATGGGAGCTCAACCCTTTATGTGGCACTAGGGATTCTAACTGCTGAACTGCCAAACTTTCGATCGACAAGTTCAGCGTCTTAGCCACTGAGCCACCGCTTCCCTCTTTCGAAAACCCAAGATGTGGTAAATGCTGATTTGGAGAAGAAGGAATTAGGGATTGTGGAGCTTCACATTTCATCGTTGTGAAATCAGCCCTCACTATTGAGACACTATTGAGTTTGAAAGGAGAGTCTGAGTGTATTCAGTTGAACATACTTCAATTCTTTGCTTGGCCTATCCTACGGAATTTCTTCAAAATGTAGAACAAGAGACAGTGTCAAAACGAGCAGCATAGAGCCTATATTTGTTGCCCTGGTTCTTCTCAGATTTATGTATTTGGGCTCACTTTTGCTTAGTTGCTTATTTAAAGACCAAAGTTTTCTTCTAGGCCCGCTCCTTGAAACCATAAAGTGACTGTAGACATTTTTGCACACAAGAAAACATTACATTTCAGCTCCTCGGTGGATGAGCTTTGGGGTTATTTAAATACATAGTTAAAAGATTTCAGGAATACTTCAAAGCAGCCTTGCAAATCTTTTACAGGCTGTGGTGTTTCATATCCTTAAATGGGACCACTTCACCTTAGTGAATAATTTACATGCATCTACTAAATGAATGGAGCACATGTTTTTAACTTCTAATAGCCTAGGCAAATGATGCAACATACTAGGAGCTGTATTTAGCTATAGTTGAAGGTTCAAAGTTTGCAGGCATGGCTTGTATCTATATCTATTCACATACGCATAGATAAATACACAATACATGCATTTTATTGTCTTTTTTCATGGATTTGTCAGAATTAAAAAATGCATAAATGATTCCTCTTTCTCTACTTTTGAGAAGCAAATCTCACCAGTGATGTAACAGTCAAACAATTGTTTTTAAAAACCAGGACATTCAACAGATCCTGATAGGGCTCTGAATTTATAGTATAGAAATGCAGTTATAATTTACGCACTGAAGACAATCAGATGCTGTCTGGGGCTATAGGTATAGCAAGGCTGATTAACTGTGTGAGTGAGACCTTGCTGATTGCAAGACTTCATTTTCTCACTACGAGGGAAATGAACATAAGCACACATTTTTTAAAAGGATCTATGACACATAACACCTTATAATTACTTAGCATGTGTTTCTTAGCTGTGGTGTTTGAAGATCTTTATGCACGGTTTCCATATGAAACACAGGAAACCCACAGCACTAAAAAAAATAATAATAAGGTACAGAAAGGCAGAAGGAGTAAAAATTATCTGGAGAGCCTCATTTCTCACTACCCTTTTTTTAAAGCTAGCAAGAACAATACAGCTGTTCAGGTTTCTGAAACTACATCAGAAACTGAACCTTGAAAAATCCACCCTGTTTTTAATAAAGACTTGCTTTGCCACTTTGCCATTTAACCATCTGTTAAAATGATAGACAAATGTCACCCAACACCCTTGATCATACTGTTAAAAGGTATCTCTTCAAACCAGACTACTGCTCTCAGTAAGTAATTTGTTTGGAAAGTTAATATGTTCAGCAAAAAGAATTTTGTTGGCAGTGTGCGCATGACATTTGATTCCTTGACAAGATTTCTTCTAACTTTTCATACGAGAGAAGAAAGAGAGAAAGTAACAGAAAAAGACAGAAACAGAATGGATAAATTGCATTTTTTCTTTATTCTACTGTTCAAGAATTTTGTAATTTTTAAATTAATGCTTTTCTTTTGTTTGAGATTTTATTCACCACTGAGGTGAAATGTTCAATTAAGCACTCAGTGCAAAAAGTTTAAATGCTAAGCTTTTTCAGTGAAAATACTCACCGTAAACCATGGCCCCTCCTGTTTCGTGCAAAAAGCGGAATCTGTGATTTTTAAACAGCCAAATTGTAAGGATCGTGAGGATGAGTAAAAAATTAAAGACCAATAGCTCCACAGCACCCTGATGATAAAAATGGTCCTCATCTTTTATTGACTGCAATTTCTTCATCTTGCTTTATTAACACTATTCTATATACTTTCTTAACAAAGAAACTAAAAAATGCCAAACTAAAGAAAATACCACAGATTAAATCCTGAATGCCTGCTTTTATAAAAGAAAGCCTAGATAGTATAAAAAAGCACAACAAACACATCTGCCTTATTTGCAGCCTCTCGGCACACTGCCACAGCTGAGAATTCAACTGGATTCTGGTTACAACTTCCTGTTTTCTTCTTAAAGCTGTCCTGTCTCATTTTCTCTCTTGAAGCTTCATCAATGTTTTCATTTTCCTTAGGAGAGGGAGGGATTAAAAAACATAAATATATTAGAACCAACGCAGCAACCCCAGGATAAATTAATTAAATCAAAGGCCTGGATTTGCAGGATATATTGGTAACTTGCTGGACTATCTGTTGGAGATAACTTTTACTGTGATTCTCACTCTGTCCTATCTGAGCAAGACACTCTACTCAGTAATGATGGAGTCCCAGTTCTTAAATCTTCATTATCTGGTTGGCAGCTGAAGGATGAAGAGCTTCATCTCACACTAAACGCAAATATCAGATCAGGCAAAATTTCAGTGTCATCTTTATGCATCAAACACACGTTTTAAAAAGTAAATTGTTTACATACAGAGAAAACTAGATCAGTTCACATTGGCATGTGATTACTTTGTACAGCTATGAAGTTCCAACTCCCTAGTAGGTCTCACTATAGACAGCTATCCTGAGTCTTCCTTGGAATCCTTTTTCTAGTTCTCGGCTACCATTTTTAATTTCCCAATGGTTCCAATATAGTACTGTTACAGGGCTTAGAGATTTGTCTAAGAAACACCCATCTCTTCACTACAGTAGTTGCGGGTGCATCATTACTGGAGACTTTTAAGAAGAGACTGGACAGCCACTTGTCTGGAATAATATAGGATCTGCTTGTGCAGGGGATTGGACTAGAAGACCTCCAAGATCCCTTCCAACTCTGTTATTCTGATTAATTCAGTGTGAGGTCCTGCAGGACACTATCTTTTCCTCTGGTACTTAACATTTCTGTGAAATCTCTCACCACTGGGAGAAAAGTAATATGATGATAATACCACTAGAATTCTGGACCAAATTGAAAAAGCCATGGAAAGCCTGAATCAATCAGCATAGGGCAAAAGATCAGATGAAATAAAGCCAAAATAGAGTTGCTATTTGTAAATAAACATCTGGGCATTTGAAAATCTCTGATTTGATAATTACTATAAAGATCCTACCTGGACCAGGACAGCTGGATGATTGGCCTAAGGCAGTGATGGCTAACTTTTTTGGCACCAAGTGCTGAAAAGAGAGCACTTTGCGCATCACGTGCATGACCAGGAAGAGGAGCTGCCCAGGGGACATGCGCATGCTGGATAAGGTACTTCTGGTTTCTGGCGTGTGCATGCGCGCTGGCCAGCAAGTCTTCCGGTTACTGCCATGCATGTACATGTGCCGATCAGCTGGTGGCCCGCATGCTAATGGCACGCATGCTCACGCGCATGTGTGTCTAGTCAGATGCTTCCAGCACCAGAGGAGGAATCCGCAGTTCTGCACTGGGGGGGAGGAAGGATTTTTGAGATGGGAGGGGCCAGAATGAGGGGCAGCACCAATGAGAATTCTCCCAACTTGAACGTCATCAGTTTCCGGGCAGAGTCCTTTGGGACTTCACCTGAAAGAGGAGAGACAGTTCTGTAGAGAGAGAGAGAGAAGCGGAGAAAGTGAGAAGGGGAACCTTGGCCTGAATAATCAACTTGGGCTTCTTCTCTGCATTGAACTCTCTCCTCCAGTGGGTGAAGTCAAGGGAGACTCTTCCTGGAAACCAATGACACTGCAGAAGGGAGAATTCCCATTGGTCCTCCTTCTTTCTGGATACTCCCAATTCTGAAGTTCCAGGAAGCCTTATTTCCGGTTCACAGACCAGTTCTTCCAGTTTCTGGCACTGCCGCACACACAAAGGCCAGCTGATCATCACATGCACATACACACCAGAAACCCAGAAGAGGAACAGGCGATACTGCATGTGCCAGGTGACATGGCTCCGTGTGCCACTTCAGGCACCTGTGACATAGGTTTGCCCTCATGGGCCTAAGGCATCATATGGTTGAACAATTGTATCAGACTCAATGCTTTGGAGTGGACTCAACATCTATAGTTAGTCCAGAATGCACCAGCCATACCTTTGGTAAGGCAACTCTACCAGTATAGGATAACTGATTTTAAGGCCGCAGCCCTGCTTCTAATTAAGCTTCTGGACCCAATGCAGAAAGCTAGTTATCATTATAAAACTGTATAAAGTCTAGCAGCAAAATAAATGAAGACCACTGAATGTCACCTGATCTGAATAACTTAAGAGTGCTTGCTAGGGTCAGTTTCCATCCATCTGTTCCTTTAGGAAGTCTTCCACAGCTAATTCTTTGGAGGATGAATACTGTAAATACAATACAATGTATGAGAAAGGAATGATTCAGCAGTCTAGTTACCACTGCTCTGCTTTTCAGGGCATAGCACTTTCCAAAAAACTAATCTCTATCTTGGAAACGATATATAGTACTATCTGATAAAGTAGCACATTATCTATATTATTTCTTTGCCTTGCCTAAAGCCACAGAAGCACACAAAAAATTAGGAAGATGAGGGAAAACTCCCTTCTCTCCAAATTCCATTGGGGCAATGAAGTAATATAGGGGATGAAGATAGACTGTCTTGATGAAGCCAATCAACTGCACAGGATTGTTAGATGACTATTCGAGAATTTAGAGTGGATAAAATCTTTGTCTCTTCTAATCATACCATTGGAATGGGTTCATTTTGGATCTTTTTCTTTCCATGCCTCAATTATCATCAGTGCATCAAACATGAAATTAAGTGTACTAGGGTAGGAGCTTGGAGGAGACATGCAGCTAGGCATATAACTTGCTGGACTTGGGGAGATTGAAAAGGATCTGGAGTTTATCATGCTTTCTGTGATATCATAGGGACTGCATCGAAGTTTAGCACTGGATTTGAACCAAGGAAACTATTTTCTGTTTCTGAAAGAAGAGTTTGAACATATTTCCAAGCTTCCATGTGGGGACTTAATGGACAGTGGCTAAATACACATTACTATATTCCACAACATTTTTTTCTTAAGCAGTGAATATAAGTTCAGCCATTGCTGATTAGCTCTCCATTGGAAGTAAGTCCATCTCTTCTTTGAGAAGTTTATGAATATATGAGACCAGACTGCTAAAATTACCATATTTTTCAGAGTATAAGACGCTTTGGACTATAAGACGCACCTATCTTTTTTGGGGAGGAAAACAAGAAAAAAAATCTGCCTCTGCCTCCCACCAAATTGCCTCCTTGCAGCAAACAGCAAACAGCCTGCTTTAGTTTCGTTTTCATTTTCAGCACAGTCTGATTAGTATAAGAAAAAAAATCTGCCTCCCAGCAATTTGTCTCCTTGCAGCAAACAGCAGAGGCCCACGCAGCAATAGGCAATGGCAATCCCTGCAGCCTGAAACAGCTGAGGGTCGGGTGGCTGATCCAACCAACAATCAGCTGCTTGTGCTAATCAGGTTGTGCTGAAGCTGAAACAGGCTGTTTGCTGTTTGCTACAAGGAGGTAAATTGCTGTGACGCAGAGGCTAAAAGCTAGGGGCTGGTGGGTGGGCGGGGCTACATTCAGAATATAAGACGCACCCAAATTTTCACCCTCTTTTTGGTGGGGGGGGAAGTGCATTTTATACTCCGAAAAATACGATAGATTATAAAGTTCAGAAATAAATAGGTCTTCCCTCATTATACAAAGCCCTTCTCCTGGCACTCCCTACCTCACCCCCATGGCCAAGTCTAGCAAAGAAGGCAATATTGACCAAGGAATTGTACTGTTGTTGTTCACTTTTTCCAGAACTTCTATAAATGATTTCAGATTTTGCTGGAAATAGCTTGCATTCATAATGTTTGGATGTTCATTTTTTAAGGAGGAATATTGAAGAGAGGCAGGATACTGATAACATAGTCCCACAAGAAAAAATTATTGATTATTTCTTGACTGGTTCTACAGCACAGAAGAGAAATAACAAATTAAAATCCTTAAGCTTTTATCTCTAGCTGTTGGTTAAAAATCAGAACAAAAAAATCTGTAAAGAAAACTTTAAAGAAAAATAAGAGCTAATTCAGAAAGATATCAAATTGGTCCTAGACCAGTGATGGCTAACTTTTTGTTGTCACATGCTGAAAGCGCATGGGCTGGCACCCATAACGCAATGTGCATGCAACCCACACACACGCCATGTCCCCGGCGCATGCATGCATGACCCCCCCATGCTCTCCAGTGCCCCTGTGCCCCGTTTTGGACCTAGCAGGTCTCCCTGCAGCCTCCTAGGACCCAAAATGGCCATGGGGGTGACGTACCACACCCTCCGTGTTCCCCTCACCCCCTGTGCATGTGCATGCATCTCCGGGATGCACTCCACCCCCTGCACATGCATGGCAGAGACCTGAAAATCAGATGGCCACTGGGAGGTGTGTGTGCATGCGCGGTGGAGCTGAGCTGAAGTGATGGCTCATGTGCCTGCAGAGAGAGCTCTGCGTGCCACCTGTGGCATGCGTGCCTTAGGTTCCCCATCACGATCCTATTTGTCACTTATTATATACAACTGGCAATTGCTGAATATATTATTTTTTTCTTTAAAAATATAAATATTTTATGTACATTTTGGATGTTTAACATTTAAACCACACGTATTATTATTTTGTGAACATTTTCATTCTGTTAATATGGGTTTCATTCAGAAATTGTATTAAAGTTTTTCTATTGTATTATTATTTTAATTTTAAATATGTAAAATATGTACCATATTTTCTGGCATATAAAACGACTTTTTAACACATGAAAATCTTTTCAAAAGTCGGGGGTCGTCTTATACGCCGGGTGTCATTCTCCTGTAACCAGGCAGACCAGCCCGAAAGGCTCTGATGAGCCTTAAATAGCTCTGGCGATTCAAGCTCTGACGATCCCAGCTGCGTTGCCTGCTAATCAGGCAACACAGCTGGGATTGCCAGAGCCATGTAAAAGGAAAAAAGTTTTCCCTCTCCAGCTTGCTTACCTTAGCTGCTAGTCACAACGCTTGCCTTGCTTTGCTTGCCTGAATCCATTCCATCAGCAAACAACTCCCTGCCTGCAATCAAGCAGGCAGGGAGTTGTGGATTTCAATTCCCAGAATTCCTCAGCCAGCAAAACAAAGCTGGCTGAGGAATTCTGGGAGTTGAAGTCTACAAGTCTTAAAGTTGCCAAGGTTGGAGACCCCTGTTCTATTGGGTAAGTTTTTTTTCCCTTTTGGGAGCGTTAAAAAAATGGGGTTTTTTTTACTTG